CCTTCTGATCGATTAGCACCCTAATTTTTTCTAAATCATCAGGTAGCTCCTGATGATTTTTCCTATCAGTTGACTACCTATTCAAGGAAAACAAAATTTATTATACACTGTATAAAATGGTTAATAAACAAAAACAGTTTTATAATTACCTCAATAGTAGCGGAAATACGAATGGGTTCTTGACAACGGGACATAAAAAGGGCAATCAATACCATGCCCAAGACTGCAGCAGCAGGAGACATCCGCCGATAGCATTTCTATTGTAGTCAGTGGCTCAACACATCTCCCTGTACAATAAAGCCAAAACTGTCGAGCCCCAACTGAGTGATCCGGCCAGACGAAAGTTGCCAAGATGTCACAACCACATGCAGTGAACTTGGTTGCGCGATTTATCTGGCATCAGCAACCCTCATATCAGCTGTAGTATGCATACCCGTGCATACATTTTAACTTCATCATCAGAGGCGTCATCGCTCAACTCCCGAAAATTAGCATCTAACCAATTTAACGGTATCTAACTACCGTTAAAATTTTCAGGACACGTCCTAGATTTTCCAAGCATAAAGTAGTCCAAGAACCCTACGTGATCCCTGATATCACATCTCCATCCACCGAAAGCCCCATGTGCATAGCAATATCCTCAAGTGTAATCGTGCACTCTCCGCATGTAAGATGGAATGTGTGGGTCTCCGGCCTCCACCGCTCTACTAAGGCAGAAATAAGGTATGGTTCTATCTTACAGTGACCCTGATATCTACATATGTAACTAAATCCAGCCTCTACTAAATACAGCAAGACATAGCTAGGTATCACTAACTTAAGGTTCCTAATAAAAGGATCTAATACGCGGTCATTCTCCTAAAATTAAATAATTACGAAAATTAATTCTTAATCTAATAATCATGCATTAAATAAATCAACAAATTATTACTAATAATTTAAATTAAATTAAAACGTTAAAATGTTATCATATCAGCAAAGTGTCGAGATATATGATTTCCATCCATGGGAAGTAGATCGTCTTCCATTTTATATCTGCAAAAAAAATTAATTAAGTAAAATATTAAATAAATTAAATACTTAAATAAATTAAATACAAAATATTAAAAATATAATAAAATATACCTTAGACAGAGATTATAAGAGTATTTGAGGGAAATTGAGAGAAATTGAGAGAATTTGGTGTGATGAAAGTGATTGAGGATGAAGGTATTTATAGGGAGAGATTGGGTGTCAAGAGTCGGGGTAGGTGGGTAATTATACCTAAGGCGCGCCACAGGGGGCGCGCCTTTCTGACACGTGGCAGATTTACAGGTAAGGCACGGCCCCTGCCCCGTGCTATACCCCTACGTGGCCGCTTTACACATGTGTATCCCATGTCAGCATAAGGTACGATGTAGGGGGCACACCTTACCCGTTTTAGATCGGGATATATAGTATGAACGGTGCCTGATCGGGAATATTAAATGGAAAAGGTGATTTTTCGGGAAAAACGCCCAGAATCTCAAATGACTATCATTTCTCATGCAACATGTTAACGTCAAGCTTAGATGACTGTCAATTTATTTACTACACAAGGACACGTTTGGAATATATGAATAGTTAAAATACGATTTTGTAACTTTTAATAGTCGTATGACTCAACAAAGCAATGTCCTATAGTTAGAGACTATTTATGTACTATCGGAATCGTCCTTCGGGTGGGCCTGGAATTGGGCTTCGACTTAAATTGTTGGGTTAGAGTCGTCATCGATCATTTATTTTAAACAAAATGGGTTAACCAGATACCTTATTTCTTACCTGATCTGCGTCTTACCAAAAAATATGTCGAATTTGGGAGTCGGTTACAATCAATGAAGGGTTAACACCCCTAAACTGCCTTTTCGGTACTATGCAATTTTCAGTTGTCTTTAGTTAAGAAAGTTGCAAGTTAAATTAAAAAAAAAGTAAAAGTTAATACGAATTACTTACCTTCGATTGACTGAACGAAAACCCTTAAAAATACTTAAGTGTTAGTTTTAAAATGAAAAGACGAATTGGATTAAGACATAAAACGCTAATTATAAAAATACAAACAAAACCAGAAAAATATAATAATAAAAATTAAAATAAAGTAAAAAAATGAATAAGAAAAAAAATAAACACAAATAAAACAAGAATAAAAATAGAAACAAAAACAAAAACAAAACAAAAATAATAATAATAATAATAATAATAATAATAATTAAAAGAATAATAATAAGAATAATAAAAATAATACATACATATAATATAGTGTTAAAAAATAATAATGAAGGAATAGTAAATACATACATATAAGATACTAAAAAAAAACCAAACAACAAATCTAATCACTAATATCAATTCACCGAAAACAAGAAAAGTTTGATCAGACATGAAGAAAAAAATAAGAAGGGGGCCTAGAGGTTGATAATGTCAAAATTTGATAGTATATATATATATATATATATATATATATATATATATAAAATAATATATATATAATAATAATAATAATAATAATAATAAAGTTAAAAAAATAGAAAATAATATAATATAATAATAATAAATTAAAAAACTAAAAATAATAATAAATATATATAATAAATAAAAAATATATACATATATACGCATGAACAAAGCAAATAAAAATAAAATAAAAGCAAATAAAAAATAATAAGAAAAATAATAAAAGGATTAAAAAATAAGAAAATAATATATATATATATAATATCGTATAAATAAAACAAAATAATAAGAAATATAATAAGAATAAAATAAATAAATAAATAAAAATAAAAAAAGATTAAATTAAAAGGGAAACAAAGATAGGGGCGAATTTAAAGGAATTGAGGGAATTAAAATGGAGGTAAAATGAAACTCCAGAAGAGAGAGAGGGACCAAAACGTAGTTTACCCTTTTATAAAACCAAAACGTGCGGGTCGGAGAATTATCGGGTCGGGTCGATGGGCTGGATCGGGTTAGGTATTTAAGCCAATTTTCTCTCTTAATTGCTCATTTCCTTCATTTTCAAAACAAAAAAAAAATATATGCTCTCAATTGTTCTTCGGCTATGATGAACAAAGCCCCAATTTCAAATTCCGGCCACTATCGTCGCCGTTGATCGGCATCGACGGCAAAACACGGGAAAAAATCATTTTATAAAAGCTTTCCCCCTCCTCATTTCGAAAACCAAACTGGTTTTACAAAATAGGCCTTGGGGGAGGGTAGATCTGAGATCAAAGTCTCGGTCCCTCCCCTAAAAATTCATCGGCCATTCGATGTTTATGGGGTTTTTTAGAGCCAAGTCTCAGACAAGATCAACATACAAAGGAAAAAAACAAATGAACAAAGGTAAAAAATGCTACCTTTTTTTAATTCTCTTCAAACCGATTACAAATGCTTTGAAATCAATGTCTATTTGCTCTTATTTTTTTGGTAATGTCGTATCTAGGGATGGGCATCTAACCCGAACCCAATGGGTTCCGACCCAATCGGGTCGGATTTTTCTAAAAAAAGTTCGGGTTCGGGTCAGGTTTTTTTATGTGGTGTTCGGGTCGGGTCGAGTTCGGGTTTAGGGTGAAAACAATCCGACCCGACCCGACTCGAAAAAAAAATATAATTTTACCCTATATATTTAGGAATAATTACAACAATACCCCTCCATATATTATTTTTTTCAATTTAGTCACTGTTTTTATTGAATAAAAATATATTTTTTTTTATTTCGGGTCGGGTCGGGTGAAAAATTAATTTCGTCGGGTCGAGTCGGGTCACGGGTGGAGGTCCCCTTCTTCTCGGGTCGGGTCGGGTGGACCAAAAACCCGACCCAACCTGACCCATGTTCATCCCTATTTGTATCCCCGAATCTGTTACAAATGGATGATTTTACACTTATTTATAATGCGAAACGAATCTTATTTTTAGGAGAGTCCTATTTGATCTACACTTCTAATGCTTCTTTGATGTTTCTGTTGTGTTGCGTGGCATTGGTGATGGACGTTGGCGTCGGAGAACTCGGACTGTTGGAGAGGCGTGCATGGTGAGGAGTTCTCGGCTGGGAGATACGGCTGGATGAGACGTTCGGTTGACCACAAAGACGACACTGGAACATTAGGAACCCTACTATGCCTTAGGGTTTCTTATTGGGTCAGACACAAGTGGACCAATAGGGTTTGTAAATGTTTGTTGGGCCTATAAATGTAAAAAACAAAATTAATAATATTATATAATATAAATATTATGATAGTGAGGGTAAGACGAAATCATGTGTCTACATGTACTTTACCTTAATATAAAATCTAACGTTGATCCCTAAACGAAAGGGTTTATGTGATAACGTTTTTTGAAAGATTATTTCTTAACAAAAACACCTTTACTTACGTGTTAGGTTACCTGAAATATAAATATGATTTATATTTTGTATGTGAAATGATACCAATCTTTTAAAATACATTGTCACGTAAGCATGCTTTTATACTATATGACAAAAATGAATATCATTATAGAAAATAGAATTTTTTGGGTGCAATTTTGATATAAAAAATAAAATTGTATTATTTTAATAATTTTAACCCGTAATATGTTTAAAAATATATTTTTGACTTCCTAGAAAGCCTAAACCTCTAGCTAGATAGGTCCGGTTGTGGGACAGCTCAGATAGATAGACCTCGGACACACTACAGTAATGCGGCTGCCTTTGAAAGCCACCCAACCACTCACCGACCTCCATTTGGCTAAAGTTAATGGGTTGTCATCTCTCTCAACTCCACTTGCTACACATTGATTCTCTCCAATGACACCCTTTCTTCTCTCCGTTAATACATCCTTCTCCTCTACCGATTCCCATGTAATAGTAAACTATTACGAACACACCAGTAAATAAAATATTACTTCCAAAGGGACAGAGAATCTAATCTAAACAGACAAAAAAAAAACCCATTAAGCCAAGCAAACTTAAAACTAAAGCCAACCCTAACCTTATCATATTCTCTCCCTTTTCTCTTTCCTTTTATGCTTGGCTCCAGAGAGCCCTTAAAATCACAATTTGTGCTTGCACCATATAGACTCTGGTTTTTGGTTGACATTTTCCTTTTGTCTTGAACATATCTAAGATCGGAGGACCCTTTTGTCAGAAATACAGTTTCAACATGGTTGGTATTTTCCCTAGATTCTCTGTTGGGAAGGCTGGCCATCGACGATCCCAGAGTGCTCTTGTAAGAACTCTTTTCTCTCTTCCCTCCCCATGGATCTGCTTGGGTGGAATCAGGAACATGTACTTTTAAAGATTATTTTTTATATGTTCTTTTGTTTTTTTTGGGGGGGGGGATGGGGGTTTCAATTTTCTTGTTTCCTGGTTTATGTTGGATTTGGTTGATGCACTCTTAAGATATCAATATTAATATCAATTCCTGATCTGTCTTTCTTTAGTTTCCTTAATATTTTGGATTCATTTGATGAAAAAAAGAGTATGTTGATTCAAACCCAGAAATTACGAAAATAAGATAAACCCATATTTTCCTGATTAATAGTCTGTTCTATTTGATACTATATGAAAAATATAGATGGTTAAATTGGCTCATTGGGTATTGAATTCGATCAGAAAAATAGATTATCAATAGAAATTATAAAAAAATATCTAAATTATGTGGAAATTTTAAATTTTAAAGAGAGGAAATACGGTGCCTGTTTAGACTAATGTATGTCATAGCAGTAGGACTTTATGTTGCTTGAATTCCTTGTTTTTGCACCAACATGATATTGAAAACTACCCTGCATCATTTTCTCCCTTCTCTACCTCTCATTCACTTTTGCAGCTAGCGCTAGGCTTTGTGTTGTTGCATACATGAGTAGATTAATGAGGTCACTGATTGTGGTTCAGGTGGAAAGGGAAGTCGAGCCTCCAAACCCCGATGTTGCTGCTGCAGCTGCGGGTACGGCTACTGCTACTGCTCATGGAATCGAAATAGCATTTGAGTTTAAACCAGTAGAACATCCGATCGAACCTTTGGACAACGACCAACCAATCCAATGCCCGCTGCCGGAGCCTTCAATTCTAAATGTAAGCTTTGGAAACTCATCTTTTGTACCCGAGTTCATCATCTTTTTCTGATGAGCTTATCATTGATTGTGTATAAATGGCTTGCATCATATGTGTTGTGAAATCAGGATGGAAGAATATGGAAGGAGCGAGTATCTGCTACGGCTAGTGCAAGGAGGAGAGCTGATTTGCCGGTAATGAAGGATGGAGGCAGCCTTCAATCTGAGACTGAAGCTACTGGCGGAACAAAACCTCGGCCGTCCTCAAATCGCATGATTTTACCATCTCTAAGTGCTCCAGAACATAATTTATTAAATCTCCTCGAAGAATGTGCTGCGTCTGGGATCTGAACCCTGCTACCAATTGGAATATGCTTCTGCACCTTCATTCCAATAATTTGCTTATCAGCTATAAACTCCAAGCTGGTTTTTGTTTACTGCCACCTATTTGGTTGAATGTATTATATACTATATGAAAACATGGAAACGGAAATGGAAATATTGCCCTCACCTCACCTGCTGTAAATCTAGTAAAGGCTTTTTTACTCCTTTTCTTGCTGAAAAAAGGTTTTTGAATTATTTAGTATAAGATTTAAATGGTTAGTATTATCGAAAAAAGTGATTTTGAAAAGATAAAAAATAATTTAGATATGATGTTATACGTTAAAAAATGTGATTTTTTAATAATATTTAAATTCTTTAATTATAACAAATAAAATATAATAAATTAAATTATTGATATTAGAGCTTAGGTCTAATTGTTTCTAAGACTCATGGGCCAGTATCAATAAGTGTCACTGATACATACCTCCAGAGTATAAAGAGTAATTTTTATGTCTGGAATAACGATAGTGATTCATCTTTTGAAATTTATAGAGATTATGTCAAAAAATATCTACACATAGTCATGAGGGTCGGAATGAGAGTCACAATTCTGGTATTGATGACACTATGACGATTTCATTCTAAATACTGAGGATATTTATTGAGAACGCGGGGTTAAAGAGGCATTCTTCTACGATCTAACTATGGCAGTTTGACACATTGTCCAAGCCATCTCGAGAGTACATGCTACCCTAGTTGGTCTACTTGCACTGCCTATGCAATTTACTATGACATAGTAAGAGTCTCGACTGTAGCAAGAACCGGCGCAAAGAACCCATTATGAACCAAACTCTTACGTAACCCGACTCAGTTTGGGGAAGTTTTGATGTGCGGCGGTTAAAAAATGATTAAAAACGACGTAATTAGTTAAATAAATGATCGGTTAAAATTTTAATCGGTAATGTTATATCATTTAACCGGAAATATTATCAAGTACAATAACATATTAAGTATCGCTTATATAATGTAATAGGTAGCGCTTATATAATAAAATAGATATTTAACCGGAAATATTATCAAGTACAATAACATATTAGATAGCTCTTATATAATGTAATAGGTAGCGCTTATATTGACCTATTTTCGAAGTAAACCGGTATATTTATACCGGTAACATTGCAAATTTACCTATTACATTATTATTATCGGTTTCGATGTTTTTTAGATCGATGCAATTTTAAATGTATCGACACTTTATGCTTGCACCTCGTTGGACATTCATATTTCATTATGGAAAAAAGTATCGACACAAACTAACAAAGTGTCGATACATGATTTAGACCTATTCTCTCATAAAACCGTTATATTTATACCGGTTACATTGAAAATTTACCTATCATTATACTTATGGGTTTCGATGTTTCTGAGATTGATACATTTTATAAATGTATCGAAACTTTATGGTTGCACCATTTTTTATATTCATTCTGGACCAAAAGTATCGACACAAATTTAACAAGTGTCGATACTTTATGCTGACCTATTTTATCATAAAATCGGTATATTTATATCTGTTACATTGTAAATTTACCTATTACATTATAATTATCGGTTTCGATGTTTTTGGGATCGATACTTTTAATAAATATATCGACACTTTATGTGTGCACCTCGTTTGGGCATTCATCTTGGACAATAAGTATTGACACAAATTCCACAAGTCTCGATACATTATGTTGACCTGTTTTCTAATGAACAGGTATATTTATACCGGTTACATTGTTAATTTACCTGTTACATTATAATTATTGGTTTTGATGTTTTTTGGGTCGATACTTGTAGAAAATATATCGACACATATTTAAGTAGTTATTATACATACCTAAATATGTGCTGCAAATTTAATGTTATACCCACCCTTTAACTACAACTACCAATACCACATCCTATTGAAAGCAGGACGACTGAAACATGTTCAATGAACCTTTGCTTACATATCCATCAACTCCGGGACCACTGAACTTGCACAACAAAATTTTTGCCATGGATCATACTGATGCAGACAATGTTAAGCCAACCGAGGAATGCCATGAAGTACATAATGTTGATGAATCTGACAGATTAGTTGGTCAGCTCTTCTGTTCACGTGATCAAGCTTGGTACAAGGGATTCACATGGGAACATGGGTTTAGTGCACGTAAGGGAACAACACGGCTTGACGTGGAAGGGAATGTGAAGACACAAGAATTTTTTTGTTCCAAAGAAGGGTTTCGAGTATCAAAAGCCAATACTGTTGATCGCCAACGTGCTCATATGCCAGTCACAAGAACATGATGTAAGGCTAGAGTCATAGTTACAACAACAAATACAAACGATCAGTGGGTTATAAGTAAGTCTTATCAGAAACATAATCATGCATTGTGCACACCTGCTATGAGACCATTTATGCGTTCTAATAGAGCTGTAAGTAAGGCTGATATCGATGAGGCAACAACATTGAAAGAGATCGGTATTGGCACGTCACAAGTAATGAACTATTTAACGCATCAGTCAGGGGGCTATCATAATGTTGGATTTACACATAAAGACCTCTACAATGCACTTCAAAGAGGTAGAGTAAAGGAAATCGTCGATGGGGATGTGAATGCGCTTATTGCCTACTTTGATTATAAGAAACATGATGATCCCGGGTTTTTTATGACATACTCGGTAGACGAATCAGGGGCATTGTATAATCTTATTTGGTCGGATTCTACATCAAGATCGGATTACACATGCTTCAGTGATGTAATTGCGTTCGACACAAAGTACAAAGATAATTTGTATGGTCGACCAATTATTCCTATTGTCGGTGTCAATCATCACCATAACACAATTGTGTTTGCCACTGCCATAATCGTTGACGAGACATCTCAATCTTTCAAGTGGGTGCTACAGAATTTTTTAGAAGCCATGATGAATAAATCACCTAGTTCAGTTGTCACCGATGGGGATAGGGGAATGCAGAGGGCTATCAAATCTGTTATCCCTTATGCTAAGCACAGATTATGTTCTTGACATCTTTCTCGCAATGCACAAGCTAACATTGGTGACCCAAAATTTACAGCAGCATTCTCAAAATGCATGGCTTCCTGGTGGACAACCGAGGAATTTGATATTCAATGGCGTTCGGTTGTTTCAGAATTCAACGTCGAAAAGCATCTATGGGTGATTGAGAAGGAAAATACACATCACTTATGGGCACAAGCATATCTAAACGGTCATTTCTTTGCCAATATTCGCTCAACACAAAGGTGCAAGTCTATGAATGCTTCACTAGTGATTGTACTGAAACACAATAAGACATATTTAGATGTTGTTCGTGCAATTGAATATGGAATTAGTAGAATGCGTATGAACGAGTTGAAAGCGGATTACTTAAGTTCCCATACGAAGCCCTTCCAGATTACAAAACTGGTTGACCTTGAAAGCCATGCTGTTGCGATTTTTACCCGCGAATCTTTTCGTGCGTTCCAAGATGAACTTCTACAGGAGACATTGTACCGGATTGAGGAAGAGATTCAGTCCTTATTAGATGAATGTCAAAATTATATTTTGTCAAAGTACAAAGAAAAAAATAGGAAATTTGAAATTAGTTTTGATTCTCGTACAAAAACCCTAATTTGCTCATACAAAAAATTCGAGATCGTTGGACTTCCGTGTCACCATCAACTTCACATTTTGAAGCACTTGGATTACACATATTTGCCCAGGTCTTTGATTCAAAGTAGGTGGACTAATGATGCGAAGGCTTCTGCACCCAGTTATGTTGACTTGAATGTGTCTCCAGAAGTGATGCAAATGGCAAGGTTTGCTGCTCTACGTTCAACGTCAAGTAGGTTATGCTACATTGCATCAAAGACAGACGCGTCTTTCAAAACCGCAAGAGATGAGATGAAAAGACAAATAGAAGAATTAGAAAACTCGTTTGGTTTGAATGATTCAGTCAACCAGAGCATTGTAGTAAACAACGTTTGTGACCCTCAATGAAAACAACGCAAGCGAAAAGAAGTACCGAAGAACAAGGTCGAGAAGAAAATTAGGCGATGTGGGTACTGCAACGATGAGGGGCATAACAAACTAATATGTCCTCAAGTCAAGCTCAGTTTGAATACAAGCACACAACCTACATCAACTGATTTTTTCGAAGACGGAATGGAATGACAACGATGCCCATATATTGTACGTAACAACATGACTCCTATTGTGTATAAGAAACATGTACAACAACCAATTGGTAACTTTTCTCATCTCATACATAATTACATCACATACAAAATTATAAATCGTATGTAACTTATACAAAATTAACCCTACATTAACAAAATTTACTCTCTTAGTCTATTTTTATTGTGGCTTACGAGACCGTTTAATATTTCATCCGCATCATCACATAAATGCCAAACAATCTGTAGACTATAGTCTCCCGCAATCATGACCGGAATCAGTTCTGTAATTGGGATTATCCAGGTTAATCATGTTGATAGCATATCCAATAAAACCTGGGGGTCCAAATGGTAAGCTAGGAATTAGTAAGGCAAGCTTTCTTTGAGGGTTTAGGGTTTAGAGCCCTCCAACGTAAGGATTGCATGATTGAACATTACGTATAATAGTTGTATTCAGTTGTTGAAGAATTGTTTTTAATTTTATATAAGGATAGTTGTTGTGATATACGTTCACGTTTCATGACCAAGTAGTTAGATGCGTGTATTAGCCTATTTCCTCGAGGCAGAGCCCAAGAAATCTGGCACTTAAAGATTTACCAAGAGCGGTAGCTTTTGCTCTGCATGAAGACCGAACCTATAATCAACTTTGCAATTATGCCTTTCATACTGAAGAGAACCTGCTGAATAATAGGATTTGCACATAACTGCAAGTATTTTAAACCCTAAACCCAATTCTTCACATGATTGGCATCTCTGTTGCATAATTTTCTATGTGAGTAGTTGGGTTTAGGATTTAAAATGCTTGAAGTTGTGTGCAAATCTTATTATTCAGCAGGTTCTCTTCAGCATGAAAGGCATAATTGCAAAGTTGATTCTAGGTTCGGTCTTCATGCAAAGCAAAAGCTACCGCTATTGGTAAATCTTTAAGTGCCAGATTTCTTGTGCTCTGCCTCGAGGATATAGGCTAATGCACGCATCTAACTACT